AACCCACCCAGCAGCTCTGCGGGAGAAAGACCTGGTGATCTGTTTCCATAAAGATTATAGCCAAGAAAACCCTATGTGGCAGTTCTACTCTGTTACATGGGGTCACTGTGAGTCAGAATTTACTTAACAGCACCCAACAACAATGAAAAGGTTAGACAAGAGGACAGATTGTATTGGCCCCCACCAAGAGGCAGCTTGGTGCCACCAGGAGAGCATGTACATTAGAATGAGATGGACCTGGGTTCAATTCCAGTCTCTGCCCACAGTTAAGTTTGTGACTTTGGACAAATTTCTTTCCTTCTGCATGTTATTTCCCCACCTGAAGATGAGGGTGGTGAAACCACCTTGCCAATCACAGTAAGGTTCAAATGTAATAATGGGAGAGTGTTTTATTTTTTTCAGAATCAACTCAATGGCAGTGGGTTTTGGGCCTTTTATTGCGTGTTCAGCCCTACCCATATGTAATTGTTTTCCACCACCTATTGTGAGAAGTACTGTCAATTTTAGAGATGGCGAATCGAGGCTCAGAGCAGATAAATAGCTTGCCTTGACTCTCATAATAAAATTAGTAAATCTGGGGTTTAAATGCCAATTTACATAACTACAGAGCCCATACCCTTGCCTGGTACAAAGCCACACCACCAAACACTGTGAATGTTGCTGCCATTAGAGTAAGGAGTGGTAGGGGGCTGGAGGATATTAGCAGGGACATTGGTGCCACCAGCAATAAAAGGACTTACACCGGAAAATGAACAGGCCATTGGGCCTCACCCTCACAGCCACCTGTCCACATACTGGGTCATGTGGATAGTTCTGCTGCTTTTAAAGTCTCTAGTTCATTTAGATTTTAATTGTCAGCATAAGAAAGGTGGTCTCTAAGAAAATGCCCTGTGACTCTTCTCTGCTGTTTTCTCTCTCTTTCCCTGTAGGTATTAATTGACTGGATTAATGATGTGCTGGTTGGAGAAAGAATCATTGTGAAAGACCTGGCTGAAGATTTATATGATGGACAAGTACTGCAGAAGCTTTTTGGTAGGAGGAGAGTTGAGTGTTGCACTGGGTGTCTTCTCTCCACGGGTGGGTAGGTCACTTACTCCTAGTTAAAAGGAGTTGTTCTCAGTTCACAGCAGTCACGTGGAAATGGAATATGAATGTGTAGCATGTGGATGACAGATTAGTGGAGTCTAGATATCGTTTCAGAATCTGCTTTACATGAATGAATTGCGACAAGAGAATCTCAACTAGATGGGGATGCTGTTTCCAAATGGGTAGATGAGAAGACCCCAGGTATATGCATATGTGGATAACATGCCTTGCCCTCTCTGGAAAAGTGCACACTTGTAAAAGTGCACACTTGTAGCCCCTGTAGGTGTATTTTTGTGTATATGAGTATGTGTATAAGTTTGTGTACCCCTGTAATCTATGGACCTGTATGTGTGTGTGTACATCTCTGATCTATGAACCTGGATGTGTGTGTACCTCTGTGATCTGTGGACCTGTGTGTGTGTATGTGTACCTCTGTGATTTATGAACCTGTGTGTGTGTACCTGTGTGTGTACCTCTGTGATCTATGGGCCTGTATGTGTGTATGTGTGTGTGCGCCTCTGTGATCTGTGGACCTGTGTGTGTGTGTGTGTGTGTACATCTGTGATCTGTGAAACTGTATATGTGTGTACCTCTGTGATCTATAGACCTCTGTGTGTGTGTGTGTGTGTATGTGTGTGTACCTCTGTAATCTGTGGAATGTGTTCCTCTGGGATCTATGGACCTGTATATGTGTGTGTCTGTGTACCTCTGTGTATCCCTCTCTAGATTGGTTACAACTGCCCAGGAGTGTGTTCTTCTGTGATGTTGAGGACTCTGTGCGTGTTTGTCTGTAGATGTGTTGCCTCTGTGAAGGTGTGTATCCCTGTGTCAGTTCATGGTTGTTTACATGGAAACATAAGGCCAAGGAGTAGGGACAGGAGAATTTAGGGATGATCTTAGTGCTGAAAGGACAGATCAGCCAGAATGAAGGTGTATTCTCCCTCGCTCTTCCCCATTTTATCTCTGGGCCAAACCTCCCCCAAGTTCTAGACTTCCATTCTTAGCTGCCCACTAGGTACCCCTACCTGGATGCACCTCAGACTGAGCTGATCTACTTTCCCAAAAATGTTTCCTCTGCTCTAAGTTAATGGAACCCCCTCCCCTTCTCCTTTGCCACCCTTCCCCCACAATGTTGTGGGTCACCAAGTCTCGTTTCTTCTCGCTCGAAAGTCTTTCGTGAATACATCCTTTCTGCCATTTTCACCTGTCTGATCAGCTCTTGTCTGAACTATGGAAACAACTTCCTAACTGGCCTCTTGGTCTCTCGTCTTACCTCCTCCAGTCTATTCCCTACACAGCTAGCAGAGGGATCTTTTAAAATCACACATCTGCTCGTGTCAGTACCTGCTTATAACTCTCAGTGGCTCTCCCCTACCTGTGGGACCAAGTCCAGGCCTCTTAGCACAGCATTCGAAACATTTTACCATGTGACCCTCAGCTGTCTTTTCAGCCTCACCTCCAGCCACTCTCACAATGTGACTCATGCAGTGTGGTAATCCAAGTAAAGTGCTTAAAATACTGCCTGACCTAAAGGACGTGTCCAATGAATGTCTGTCATCATTTTGGTAGGGTGGTGGTTTTATTATTTTTATGTATATGGTGTATGTATATATGGTATCACTGGTATATTATTATATATACTATGTATATCAACACCCCTATATTTTGCTCATGCTTCCTTCTGCCTCCAAAGCCCTTCTTCCTCCTTTATTCACCAGGGCATACCATTATTGCTCATCCTTCCAATCTCTAGACTTGATCAAATGTGTACCCTCTTATATCCTTCACAACACATATCTAGAAGAAATCATATCTAGATCT